CTTGTCAGTGAGGCCCCAATTGTGCAGAAAGTGAAGCGCAAGCAACCTATCACCCCCGGGTGGGGGGAGCATCCTCACAGGACCCCCAGTGTGACTGAGTTCACAATGTATCGACCAAATACTCAGGCAGAGTTGGTTGACTTGGGTAAGCAGTTGCGGCAAAAGCAAGGGGAACCCTTGGTAACATGGCTTTTGTGACTCTGGGACGCAGTGGTGGACAGTATCATTTGTTCTGGGGAAGAGAGAACAGTTAGCCTCTATAACCACTCATCCCTCATTGAAACAAATGTTGCAGAACGCTAGGCGACTCATGCAAAGGGCACGCCTCACCAAACGCACACCCTGATGGCATGGATTAACACTGCCATCCGCACCACGTGGATGAATGTGGGAGAGCTCCGGGATATCCTGAGTAAATGGTATACCTATGCTGAGTTGACCCAAGTGATGAGAGAACTGGGCATGAAGCAGTCGATGTTTAACCGAAATACCCGAGGCCCAGACGACCAGCGTTTTACTGGGGGCATGTGAGACTCCATTTTGAACAATACCTTGTCCACCTCGTATATACATATATGTGTATATATATACACACATAGGTATAACTGAACCACTTTGCCATACACCTAAAACAGTGTAAATCAGCCAAACTTAAAAAACAGACTAGAGGGAAAAAACATTCACACAGGTGGCACTAGCAGCGAAGAACCTGCCTGCCTATGAAGGAGATGGAAGAGATGCAGGTTCAATCCCTGGGTTGGGAAGATCCCCTGGAGAAGGACACGGCAACCCACTCCAGTATTCTTGACTGGAGAATCCCATGGACAGAGGAGCCTGGTGGGCTACCGTCCATAGGCTCTCAGAGAGTCGGACACGACTGAAGCGACTTAGCACACATATGCACACAAACACTCATATCCATACACACAAAACATTCCCTGGTGGTCCAGCGGTTAGGACTCTGCTCTGTCACTGCAAGCGCCTGGGCTCAATCCCTGGTTGGGGAGCTAGGATCCTATAAGCCGTGTAGCATGACCAAAAGACAAAGAAAACACACATATACTGCAAGTGTGTTCACATCTCCAAACCTCGTTTATCCAAAAAAAAGAAAAAAAAAGGAAAGATTTGACTTATACAGGGAGACAAGATGGATAAGGAAGGAAGAGGAGAATCAAGCACAATGATAAATATCAATATACATCTGTTTACATACACATGGCCTGCTTTGGATCCTCAACACCTTTGAGATTGCAGTTTTCATCATGTGTTGTCCTTTTCTTTACTTTCCTTAGCTATTCTTTCCCCTTAGTTATTATTTACAATTTAGACATAAGTGTATTATTCAGGTCCAAGATAGTTTCTATTACAGTTTGTATGGAAAAATGTCAGCTAGATAAAGTTATTTGCATATTATTTCTTAAGAGAAAAGACATAATCTTCTAATAACATCCCACAGTCTTTCTAAAATAAACCTTCCTTCTTAGTTATTCCTGAATGGACATCTCGATCTGTTTCATACGAATGTGAAAGTGTTGATACTGATTAAGGAAAAAAACAAAGCACAAGTAATTAGCAAGAATTTAAAATTCTTGCTTGTGTTTGTATGGAGCTTCACAATGAAAGGAAATATGATTTTCCAGGTTTTATTTTATTTAATGACTAAAGCAACCTGTTGGAGAAAGTAGATGAAGTAATATTACAATCCCTGCTTTATAGATAAGAAATGTGAGGCTCATGGGAATTAAGTATCTTACGTAAAGTTACACACTTAGAAAGTGGCTGAGTTCATTTATAGTCCAGATTTCCTGACACTGAGTTCCATGCTCTGTTTTGTAAGATTCCTGATATTTGCGATCAACAAATTTATGTGTTCAATACTGAGGTTTATCCAAGTTTACAGTTTTCTGGCAGATATAATAAGTTTCATTTTGCCTGATGGAAAGTTTTTGTTTTTATTTTTTCAGGTGTCAGTGTTAATTTCAGATGTCTGAAAACCTAGTATCTGTTAACATGAATATCAAGTCCTACTCTTTACACCCTTAGCCAGGGCGGCCGGCGAGGAGCCACGTTTCACTTTGATGTTTTAGTGACATCAGCCACACTGTGGCTTGCTTTGTGCATTGTCAGGCCTGCGGACAGGGCAAAAGAAGTCCCAGTGCGACAGGGAAGTACCTTTGTATTCTAAGTTAATTGCTAAAGGGATGTTGCCTATAAGCTTAAATTATACACGTCGGCCCATCTCTGGGAAACTTGCTTCCCAGGGAATAAACATTGAGCTAAAATACCTTTGTTTGGCTCAGTGCCTCCTGACCAGGCCCACCTGTGCATGACTGCAGGGAGGAAGAAATGAACACATGCCCTCTGGGGGCTGATGGCAACCAGGAGGTGTTTGACTTTACTGCCTCCCCTTGTAATATTAAAGGAGCCTGAATTCTAACTCAGGCAAGATGGTTCTTTGGGGCACGAACCCACCATCTCCTCAGTTGGCTTTCCAAATCATCATTCCTTGCCCCAAGAACTTGTTTCTGTGATTTCTGGGCTGTTGAGTGGCGAGCGGTGTGATCTTGGATGCAGTAACACCAGGTGTGCTAGGGAAGGCCACGTGGTGGTACCTGGTTGACAAGTCTGTGGGGACAGAAGGAGGAAGGGATCATTATATCCCTGGAAAGAAGAATTGGGGGTGGCTCCCTGGGGGAGGTGATGCTTGAGGTGGGCTCTTCAGTGTGAGCAATCTTTCCCTGGTGGTCAGGGGTCATAGAGCAGGCATTTCAGGAAGGGAAGCAGGTGTATGGAGGAGGGACACAGTGCCTGGTGGGACTGGACAAAGGGGACAGGGCTGCTCAAAGACAGAGGTGAAGGTCAACCCAGCCAGAATTCAAGGGACCCTCCAGTCTAAGAGCCAGTCCACTTCACAGGAGATTTGTGCAGACCTTCTGGGCCAGTGTTTCTCAATCCAGGTACACATCAGAACCATGCCCATGGTTCTGACTCCTTGGTCTTAGGTGGAGCCTAGGCTTCCTCAGAATTAAAAGACGTGCTCCAGGTGTTATTAACTGTTAAATAATTATTCCAACACTTGTTAAAATGATAAGGGAGACATTTATGACTATTGGGGTGGGATATTGCAACAGGGGAAAGACATGGAGTTCAACTCCAAATATGACATAGACAAATGGGGATTTTTAGACAATATGACAAGGTAAAGAATCTGCCTGCCAGTGCAGCAGATACAGGTTTGACCCCTGGGTCCTGAAGATACCGTGAAGGAGGGCACAGCAACCCACTCCAGTATTCGTGCCTGGGAAACCCCATGGGCAGAGGAGCCTGGCAGGCTGCAGTCCATGGGGTCGCAGAGAGTCAGACAGGACTGAAGCGACTGAGTACGCACATGCCTGCAGCTCATAGGTCACTGGGGCACCACTGGTGACCTTAAGAAGTAGCTGACTTTATTTATTTATTTCATTTAAACAAATTTTTAGACTTCCCTGATGGTGCCGTGGATGGGGAGTCCGCCTGCCACTGCAGGGTCACAGGTTTGATCTCTGATCTGGGAAGATCGCACGTGCTAAGAGAACCCTTGCATTACAACGACTGTGCCTGCACTCTAGGGCCCATGTGCGGCAACTGCTGAGGCCTGAGCACTTAGAGTCTGAGATCTGCGGCAAGAGAAGCCGCGGCGAGAAGCTCCTGCACTGCCTGGAAGAGTAATTCCCGCTCTCTGCAACTAGGGGAAGCCCACGCAAAGCAATGAAGACCCAGCACAGCCAAAAATAAAATAAAAATTGTTTTAAAAAAAGAGGTAAAATACCTATATTAAAAGTATATTTATTTGGCTGCGCCAGGTCTTAGTTTCGACATGCAGGATCTTAAGTTGTGGCATGTGAACTCTTAGTTGAGGCACGTGGAATCTAGTTCTTTGACCAAGGATTGAACTCAGGCCTCCTGCATCGGAAATGTGGAGATTTAGTCACTGGACCACCAAGGAATTCCTATGAAGGAGCTGACTTTAAGGTAGGATTCTGAGTAAGGAAGTTCAGAAGACCTCAGTTTCTTATCCTGTACTTATGCTCTGCTCCCTCACCAATAATAATCATGATAATGATAAAATATGTATGATAATGATAAAATATGTTGTGCTTAGTCGCTCAGTCATGTCTAACTCTTTGAGACCCCATGGACTATAGACTGCCAGACTCCTCTGTCCATGGGATACTCCAGGCAAGAATACTGGAGTGGGTTGTCATCCCCTCCTCCAGGGGATCTTCTTGACCCAGGGATCAAGCCTGCATCTCCTGCATTGTAGGTAGGTTCTTTACCCCTGGGTGGCTGGGGAAGCCCAATATACTATTTAACATTATTTAAAAAGCAAAATATAAGCAATATTTTGGATGCTGTTGCAGTCATGAAGCCTCTGAGATGTGCATCTACTGGAGAAGAGTAGGATTGTTAAGTACAAGGAGAGGCCATCTGCGGTTGGGTAACATGATTTGACTTATTAACATGATTTCTGATTTGATGCCAGCAAGCTGGTTGGTCCAGAGGTAGACAGTGGGACAACAAATCCATAAGCTTGCCAATAAGCAGAGCAGAATTGTAAACAAAGCACACATTTTGAGGAGGCTGGGAGGATATTACTAAAATGACTGACCGTGGGGGCCTAGATAATAGGAAAGAGGGAGATTAGGACAAGTTTGAGGGGCTGGGGTCCATGGAATCTGACACTTAAACAGACAGGAGGTCACTGATTGCTCCCAGTAACCTTGTAAGTGGGTAATATTATTATCCTCAATTAATAGATGAGGAAACTGAGGCTCCAAGTAGTTGTATGATTTGCTCTGGCTCTAAAGCTTGGAAGAGGTAGCAGCAGGATAGGGACCCAAGTTTGTTTAACAAGTAAGAACAGTGTTGTTTTCACGGAGAGGGAAAAGCGAAGTCATAAAAAGACCCATTGAAGCCAAGGAGGCCAATACCTAGCTAGGCAACCATCGTTACCATGGCACCTTCCCATCCCAGCCCTAGGGAGGCCCAGGGTGCCCTGTCCACGGGCTCTGGAGACTGGCATCAAGTTCTCCTAGTGTCATCTGGATGTGGTCCTGTGTGCCAACATGACAGGTAAAGGGCACGGCTGCAGCGAGGGATTTCCCATCTGTTGAAAACAAGTTCTTCAGCCAACCACTCCAAAATTGAAATGCATGTTTAATAAGCTGGCTCTCTGCAACAAAGCAATTTAACTCACTGATAATTATGCAGGTCCACCTCTTGCTCTCAGGATGCTGGCTTCATTCACAGTGTCCTCGATGTGGCATATTGAAAACCCTTACATCTGTCCTGGGTGCTTAAATTCCCAGAGATGTGATTATTATTTTGGAAATGTCAAGAATTCAGAGTCCCACAAAAGGACCAGCTTTCCACTCGGTTTGGCAGTTAAATATAGGATGCTCAGTTACACTTGAACTTCAGACAATGAAGCTTTTTTTTTTTTTAGTATAAGTAGGTCCCAAATATCACATGGTGTAAATTTTTTTTGTTAAGTATTCAAATTTGATTGGGCATCTTGTACTTTTATTTGCTAAGTCTGGCAGCCATATTTTGCACATTGAATTAAGATTTCTACTCAGTCACAGATTTCAGCTGAATCTTTAACTCCAGAATAGCAGGAACCTTGAGCATGTGAAAGAGCTGTGGAATTAGTGTAGTCCAGTTTGTACTGGCCTTCGTTTTTGGTAGTTGCTCAAAGCAGCCATGTTTATTCCATGGGATCCAGACTCTCAGCAAGAGTCAATTGACTGGCGTGACCATGTGAGTCAAATTGGTCCAATCAGATCTGTTTCTGAGAACTGGGAGTCAGAGAAAGCCAGTTAGTCCTCGCAAGTGGTTGAAACTGAGGGGATGGCTCATGAGATAGCCCATTCATTATTTCTTCCACAAATATTTCCCTTTTCACTGAGTTAAGCTGAGTTTATTTTTGTTACTTGAAACCAAGGGGGCTCACCTGAGAAAGGGTGGTAATCCTAGGTTGTGTTTAGTAGAAGCACGCAAGAATCCTCTCCTGGGACTGCCATGCTCATCTCATGCCCACTGTCTTAGTTCATTCAGGCTGCTGTAACAGAATATCACAGACTGGGTAGCTTATAAGCAATGGAAAGTAATTTCTCACAGTTCTGAGCCTGGAAGTCCAAGGGCAGGGTGCCAGCATGATTGGGTGAGGGCTCTCTTCTGCGTTGTAGACCTCTTGTGTCCTCACGTGCAGGAAGGGGCTAGAGATCTCTCCAGAGCCTGTTTTATAAGGTCACTAATCCCATTCACAAGGGCTCCCCCCCCACCCTGGTTTAAGCATCTCAGAAAGGCCCCACCTATTAACACCATCCCCTTTAGGGGTTAAGAGGACAACATATGAATTTTAGGGAGACACAAACATTTCAGATGATAGCACCCACTCGCCCAAATGCTACTCATTCTTCAAGACTAGATTAAGTCCCATTTTCTCCATCTTAATCATCCAGCACATTTAAAAAAAACTGATTGATTACCTGGTTATCAAGGTCTACCTGAACTGAAGGGCTTCCCTTGTTGCTCAGACAGTAAAGAAACCACCTGTGATGCAGGAGACCCGGGTTCGATCCCCGGGTCGGGAAGATCCCCTGGAGGGGGAAATGGCAACCCACTCCAGTGTTCTTGCCTGGAGAATGCCATGGACGGAGGAGTCTGCCGGGCTACAGTCCATGGGGACATGACTGACACGACTAAACAGTACACACCTCGACTGAAATGTGAGCACATGAAATTCTATCAGAGAAGCAGGACTTAGTGGAAGCTATAAAGAAGACTTTGAAACCTTTTTCAACCTTTTTATATTTCTCCACTTGAAAACTCCAATACTTTCATTACCTGAGACCTTTCCAGGCTGCACCCTCTCTGAGGCAGGACAGAGAACATTGTATCAGGATGCAGTATATTAACCTTCTGGTTGACTTCCACTTTTTAACTCTTTGTTTTATACTGGGGGCTTCCCTGGTGGCTCAGATAGCAAAAAATCGGCCTGCAATGCAGGAGATGCGAGCCTGGTGGGCTACAGTCCAGGAGGATCTTGGCGGGCTATCGTCCATGGGGTGGCCAAGAGTCGGATATGACCTAGAAACTGAACAACAACAAAGCATCATAAACCACCCTTCCCCCCAAAGAAAGCCTTCTTTCATAAAAACTGGAAAGGGCACAGGGCCTCAGGTCAGGAGGAAATACGGAGTTTCCTTCTTGTTTCCTCAAATCTAGACTGGCTGGAAACCACAGAGCCTTCTCTAAGCCCACTTCCCCACTAGCCCTGTGGGCCAGGCTGGCCGGCTTGCATCACAGACCCAGCGGTGGGCACAGAATCACAGGAAGGGAGCCGGGTCCAGCAGGCTCTGCTCTGTGATGGGGTAACTGGGAAGAGGCTTGTGTTCTCGGGTCCCGGATGTGTGGGGGCTTCATAGGTCCACCCGACAATAAACGTGATCCGAGGATCACTGCAGGCTCTGAGCAGTGACAGGAGCTTGTCCCCTTTCTTGGGCTGAAGTTATTAAGGGAGGGAGTAGCCAAAGACACCACAAGTTGATAAAAAAGATGAAAGTCCCTCTAATCCTATTGTGAGCAAGAAAAAACAGAGAAGGGCAGGAGGGCTGCCCCCCACCCCGCCCCTCCTAAAAATCAGAAAATATTTCTTGAGTGAATGTAAAGATTTTCTATAGTCTTCCCCTCTCCTTACCTAAATCCTGCCTGAATCTTACCTCAAAGGATGGTCAGAGAGCAAGAAACAATATCAAAAAGGACCTAAAGATCAGAGATTAGAAAGCAGTATATACACTGCGTTTCCCTCCCCCTTTTAAAATCTGCTGATAATTTCATAGAATCAACTCCTTTTAATCTTTCTTCAAGCAACATAAATCAGCAGGTAGCCCTATTAGAATGATTCAACTTTGGAGATGGAGAGATTGACTGAGAAAAGCATTTAATTTCCTTCTCTGGTTGCAGGCTGTATCTTCTCAATGGGAAAACCCATGTGATTTTAGAGATGCACATGGCCCAGATGGGCTACTTAGAGGTTAGAGGTAAGCTGATCTCCCAGAGGGGACTGACAGCGGGACCTCTCAGATCAGAGAACAATACACACCCATTTGGACAGGCAGTTAAGTGATGCTCCCACTTCTTGTAGATTCTCTGCTTTGGCAGCCTGGTGCTGTCAAAGCCACCCTTGAACACATGAACACTGTAAAATATTTTGAAAATACTGATAAAAAAAGAAAATTAAAATACAATTCAACCACTCAGCTATTACCACTATCATAATTTTTTTCTTTTTTAAAAAATTTACTTATTTTTAATTGAAAGATAATTGCTTTACAGTATTCTGTTGGTTTCCATCAAACATCAGCATGAATCAGCCATAGGTTTACCCATGTCCCCTCCCACTTGAACATCCCTCCCACCTCCCTCCCCATTCCACCTCTCTAGGTTGTTTCTGAACCCCGGTTTAAGTTCCCTGAGTCATGCAGCAAATTCCCATTGGCTACCTATTTTACATACGGTCATGTATGTTTCCATGTTACTGTCTTCATACATCCCATCCTCTCCTTCCTCCCCCCACCCTCAGGCATGTCCATAAGTCTCTTCTCTAAATCTAATAGACACAGACTAATTGCTGCTCTGAAAATAGGTTCATCAGTACTATCCTGTCATCATTTTTAATCATTGTCTTTCCGGGTCTCTCTCTCTGTGTATATGTGTGTGTGTGCGCACGTGTGCTTGCTTAACATGACAAACCCTTATTAGGTCATACCATATATATTAGTTTCTGTGTCTATGTATCTGCTTTTAAAAAATGACCAAACAATAGCACGGGCACTTTTCTGTGACATTAAAAACTCTCATACAAAATCACTTTCAGTGGCTTCTGGGTATTTCAGTGTGGGAATGAGCCATCATTTAATTATTCACTATCCTGTTATTGGACATTTAGATGGTGTCCAATTTTTCACTCTTATAAACAATCTTGGGAATGAGAATTCTTTTAGCCATGCTTTTGTTCACATCTGTGATTATTCAGCTAGGATACATCCTTGGAAGCAGAATTGCTAAATCAGATCTTGTAAGATTTTGAGGTTTGGGGGACAGCTATTTGCCACTGAGTTGTGTTAGTTCCCTTTGGCAGCGGTCATTTTCTCCGAAACTCTGTGACTGGGCAGTACTGGGTCTTCAGCATGTCCTTGTCTAATTGGGAGATGAGGCCCTTTCCTGGGGAGCTCTGCAGTGGACAGTGAGCTTCACACCAGGAAGATACCCTTCCTGTGAACACGCTCTTTGTTGGTCTCACTTCCCTGTCTCACTTCTCTTACTTCCTCACTTGTCTTCCTGGGATCATGTCCCAAAGAAACTCCTTGCATCCAAGTCCTTATCTCAGAGTATGATTTTGAGGAAGCCAACCCCAAGTTTGGGCTTCCCTGGTGGCTCAGTGGTAAGGAACCCGCCTGCCCATGCAAGAGATGTCAGTTCAATCCCCTGGTTCAGAAAGGTCAGGAAGATCTCCTGGAGAAGGAAAGGCAACCCACTCCAGTATCATTGCCTGGGAAATCTCACGGACAGAGGAGCCTGACAGGCTACAGTCCATGGGGTCGCAAAAAAGAGCGGGTCATGACTTGGCGACTAAACAATACCACCACCAAGTTGAGGAAACCCAAACTAAGTCACATGGAAACACACCGGAGGCAGGAGGCACTCTTCCCCAGTGTCCTAATCTGCTGTGAGAGAATGCCACAGACTCGATAGCTTATAAACAACGAGAGCTTATTGTTCCCAGTTCTGGAGACTGGGAGTCCAAGATCAAGGGACTGGTAGATTTGGTGTCTGGGCTCGTTTCCTCCTAGAGGGTGCCTCCTCGCTGTAGGGTCAAATGGAGAAAGGGAGTAGGTTTTTCTACAGCCTCTTTTTTTTTTTTTAAACCAACTTTATTTTATTTTTTAATTTTATTATGTTTTTAAATTTTTGACTGCACCCATGGCATGTGGGACCTTAGTACCCCCACCGGAGATTGAACCCATGCCCTCTGTATTGGAAGGCTGAGTCTTAACCCCTGGACTGAG